TTTTTTTTTTCAGTTAGATTTCTTTTCTCAAAACAATTAAGCAAGTCAGTTTTAAAGTTATCTTAGATTTCTGGAATAAGAAAGAGTAACACAGTTATCAATTCTGTGAATTATGTCAGGCTACACCTGGTTTTTTTAATACTTTAAGATGTTATTGCAAAACTACAACTAACTAGGATCTCGTGATGTACAATGTTATATATGTTATCTGTAATCCATATTCCTACTCCTATATATTTGAAAATCTGTAGGAAAATAATCATCTATCCCAAAAAACCCATGCTATTTATCTTGGTACAGTCTCAAAGATAGGTGTAGTTCTCCAGGTACTGCTGCACATCTGGTAAATATACTTTAATATTCCGATTTCCTGCTTACTATCCTTCAAAGACAAAGGCTCGTAAGTGTATCTAACAAATAACTAGTCAGGAAAAAATATAGATGAGAAAGGGGGGATGGGAAAAATAAATGGAATGTGTTTGATTTTAGGCAGAGAATGGCAGCCAGCTAGGCACTATCCCCACTTTATGAGAATAAAATCATGGAGGCTCTTCTACCAGCTCAGTGATCCTATCCTTTGTGATTTAAAAGTAATATATGCAGAATATAGGATTAAAGAGTTCAAACTCTGGCGTACAGGTTCAAAGGAGCCAGAACATGGCTCTTGAAGGTCACAGACTAAATCTCCTAGGTAGGAGGTGTGATTACTGGTATAGCCCTTCATTTGAGATCCAGATCTACGGCCCCATCTGTGTAGCCCTAACATCTCTAAATGATAGAGGAATCAGATTTGTTTGGTCCTGGTTTGCAAGCATTGCAAATGTGAGTAATTTTCTGATTTTATCCCAGATTAAGAGAGAGTTTTCTTTCTTTCCAGATACAGTCCGAACACTGAGTAATGCAGAGGAATACCTTGATGATGAAGACTCTGATTAACTTTTTTCATTCAGCATAAAGAACTATAACTTGCGTTGCCTATGTCAGTCTCAAAACATATCTTTGCAACTGTAAAAATATCTTATTTTGAGTATTGCAGTCTTCCAGTATAGCATATAAATGAGTGGGTGAAATCATGCTTTCCAAAGGAATAATCTTTCCCTAGGCCAGAAGATGTCATATTTTGAATCAGAGTTCCTTTGGAAGTATCTCACAGAGGAAGTGTGGTGTACCATTACTATTGAATGGGTGGAAGACCATATTCTAAACTCACATGTTTCATCTCAGGCCTTCCCAGCAAGTGCCTTGCATCTCTGGAACGCGTTTCTCAAACTGAAAGGTCCTTCTGGGACAGCAAGACACCATTGCTAACATTTTCCAAAATCTCCCTGGGCATAGTTTCCTTTGTGCAGCTAATACTGACAGAGTCAGTACTGGCTGACAGGCATGAATGGGCATTCTGCTATAGAGAGGGACCATTATTTGCCCACGTGGAGCCAGCATGACAAAGTTTGATTTTTATTTTTGGTAAAATTTTTTCCCTTCCTTCCTCTACCCCTCTGAGTAAAGTGCAAAATGACCTAGGATGATCTGCCCCAGGATACTTTGTCTTCTCTATTGCTATGGGCCCAATCCCTGAAATGTTAACTCAGGTGAAATGCTTGCTTAAGTCAGGTTTGCTTGAGAAATATACTTAATTCTGAATTTGGTGGCTTGGTTATTTTGCTTTTTGAAGTGCATTATGCTGAAACTATTTGTAGTGAAAAGAAGACAGAATATTTTTCTATTTATCCTGCCTAAAATTTTTAGTACCAATCTCTTTCTTTTACTTTGTAAAAGTGCTCTTGTATTTTGTCCTAAATTACCTCAAAGTTGAAGAGTGTTTGAAGGAATGAGGGAAGATGTATATCAAATATACCACAGGTATTTAGAAGAGATACCTTAAGCTGAATAAACATTTTTAAAATGCATTGCTTCTTCCTGTGAATTAAAGAGAACTAAAAAATTATTGAGCCACTTTCAAGCTTCCCTGCAGAGTTAAAAAACAGTACTTTCTTTAGATTGCTCAAATAGCTGCAGCCAAATATTGTACCTTACTGAAGGGTACTTTCTTACTGTGATGGTAAGAAAATGTTACAAGTATTTGAGATACAATATTCAATTTTTGTTGCTAGCTTCTCTAGTAGAGACTTCTAACAAATTCATTCCAACACAGTAATCTGGCATACCAAAACAAAACCAAAAAAAAAAGAAAAAAAAAAAAACACCAAAAAACTCTTGCAAAAGATTGGGGATAAGTGAAAAGCTCTTGTGAAAGACTGGAGATAAATGAAAAGCTCTTGAGAAAGTCTGGGGATAAACAAAGCTCTTGAGAAAGTCTGGGGATAAACAAAGCTCTTGAGAAAGTCTGGGGATAAATGAAAATCACACTAAGTATTTTAGAGATTAAAAGAAGTGTAGAGCACTCTTAATTTCCCACTTTTAAAAATACATTCAACCAGATTTTTTATTTTTATTAGATACAGGTAACGCTTGCTAAGCACTTATCAAAGAAGGCAGTGCTTGATTGACCAGAACTGTGTAAGATGGAGGCATTGCATAAATAGTCATCTGCACATATAATTGAAAACTGTTTAAATGTTAAAACTGTAGAACAAATGGTTTAGCCCTATGGAATACTGTGGCTACATGAACAGTGATGTTTTATTTTGTATGAGCTTGAATATCCTAGAGGGGAAGAAATAAAAACCAAAGCCACCAGTTTTTTCTCTCTAGCTTTCATTAGGACAATTGTTGAACATAACTCTTAATAGACAGAGACTGTTCTGCTTCATATTTAATCAGCCAGCTATTCTGCTAGCTCAGCTTTTTACCATAGTGAAGCTACATGTTATGATGCATGCTGTTGATTAAAATGATACAATTTCAAAGTGCAAGTTTAAAAGTTCTTGCCTCCTGTAATGAGAGGCAAGAAGGTTCTTGAGTCTTTTTCCTGCATAAATGAAGCTCTCAAGATTAAAATTCTTCAGTGTCACAGGATGTGGAGAGAATGGCTCTTCCCAAGTCATTGTATTCTCTATTGAGTTTTGGAGGCAGAGTTTGTATTCATAAATAACTCTTAATGTAATGTCTTCTGCTGCCATGGGTTCAACATCCTACAAGGAAAACATTATGCTCATGTCTCTGGAATTAACAGCTGCCAGAAGACCCTGTGTTCTGCAGATGCAGCAAAAGAAGAATGGTGACAGAAGCACAAGCTGAGCCCAGAGATTGCATCTGAAGTTCTTACCACTGAAAGAAGCACATTTACATTGCAAGGCAGCTAGCAAGTGGTGTAATTTGTTTCCAAGACCAAAATTATCGCTTTTGTTTTTTATCCACAACTTTGTTTTCCTTCATGAGACTTTCTGCTTATCTTGTGAAATACAGATCACTGTGAAAGTTTTCAGGCAATAAATTACTTTTTGCCTAACTCCAGCAGTTTAAGTTTTGATGTAAAAAACAAAACACAACCCAAACTGAATGTCCTACAAGCTAGAAGGAGTTACAGCTGGAGTAAGCTGATACAATTTCTTACCAGTCTTACTGGTTATGCAAACCTACTTACTCCCTCTACTTTTCTTCAATCTATGTGCCACTGCAGGCTCATGGATAAATTTAAGACTTTTTTCAAGGGCACCTGCATTCGGTGTTGTAACAATAAGAAAAGTAATTTTTTTTAGGAGCAGCAAAGTGAAAGTTTTCAAGCGCACGGTGTCTTCTAACTGAACGTTGAAGGATATTCTGTCTTGTGTACTTCTGCTTGAAATAACGTGTGCCTTTCTATTGAAAATAGCTATGGTCCACGTAGAAATTATGTGCTGTTAGGGGATACTTGAATTGATTGGAAGCTTTTTCAAACTGAACTGGTAAATCTTCTGTTGGCTTAATCAAAAAGTCAAGTGTTTAATCCCTTTTTTCTAGGAGAAAAAATGGGATATTTTTTGAATTGTCTTAGACTCTGGATAATTTTCAAGTTAGTATGCTGTTTTACTAAGACAAACCCCACTTTACTGAATTCCACTCTTACATATGCCATCACCTGAAATTTAATTTGCTTAAAACAATTAAGGTCACACAAAAGGATTAAACTGAGTGGCCCGTTTCTAACAAAGTCTCCACCTTAGAACTCTTAAGTCCTAATTTCTGGCAACAGTGTCATGTTTCTTGTTTGAGTTTTATGTCAAAGACTGAAGATTGGCGAAAGCCTGACCATGTGATCATTTCAGTTGTATATAGTCAGGTGTTCAAGCATGCAGCATACATCACAGAATTAAAAATTTGTTTTCAGCCATTGCCACCTCCCAGTGAAACCTTTGAAATGTACCACTGAGCCCATTACATAACAAGTAATGGGCCATCAGTCTGCTTCATGAGTCTATCACTTCTCCTCTGTCCAGTGGGAGATTTTTCTTTCAGATACGGATTATTTGGAATATGTGCTGTTTCTTATAATGAAAATCCATATTCCTTCTTTCTCTTCTGTCCAAGACTGACTCCTAACTTTAAGGAACTTTAGTGAGAGTTAATATAAAACAAATATGAAAACATATAGAACCGCAAGCAAATTGGACATTTGAAAGTTTTTTATAGTAATATTTCCAATTTGAATTCTGAAGCAAGTCTCTGGAATCCAGTGAAGATAAATGGGAAATGGAGGACCTCTGTTTTTAAACTCAGCACAAACCTGTATTTGTTTTCTTGATTTGTGTTACTTAATATACTACATTTTTGCTCACAGCTGTACTGCAGTCACACCTCCACTTGACTTCATTTCTACGAGGACATACTGAAATTAATCATCTTCAGATGTACTCAACATAGAATTAAATCCTCAGAATTTATATCCAATTTTTATGTACCTTCCTTGTTGAGACTTCTATAACACAGGTAGTTTCACAGTGTTAGTAATTTACTCAGACTTTTTTAATAAAAGGCTTAAATTTTATCTTCTCATATGATTTCCCTAAGGCAGGTAAAATTATGGTACATTTCAGGTAATCTGTCAATGTTTGCTTTTATGCTTTTCCCTAAGATTTCTGTTCAAGCCTAGAAAATTCCAACTGCCTGGATATGAATTTAAAACAGAAGAGGAATCAAGAAATAAAAATATATCTGGCCTACATGCACTTACCCTGAAAGCAAGAGCAGTAAACATATTGTTAACAAAAAAGTTGTATGACAGGTAGGTTGAGTAGCAGGCACTGTACTTAAGAGAAACTTGTATAGATTCATTAAAGCCCTGAACTAGCATTTACTTTGGCTTTAACAACTTCCAGAAAAGTTGGCCCATTCAGTTACAATTCCATGAGTACTTTTCTAAAATATAGTTTCCACCTGGAGTTAGTATTGATGGCAGCAGGAGTTCAGGAACAACACGCAGACAATCAATGTGATCAAAGCGATGTCCAATTTATCATTTAAATGAGTTCACTTTTATACAGTTTAGTTTCTTCCGGGTACATGCCTACAACAAGGTGATTGGGTAGCTCAGTCTGTGCACTCATGTCATGCTTTCAGTTCATTGATTCTGGTGCTCTGTCTGCGCAGCCTGACATCGTACGTGCCACCCAAAGTCCCTAATATCGATCCACATTTAGGGGCTTTCCGAGATTCTGCAGGTGTTTCTTTATCTCCAGTTTTCCCACAACTTTCAACTATAAACACATGACTTTCTCATACCTAGCAACCATAAACATACAGTATTGTATTCACACAGCTAACAGTTATAAACTCACATAATTTCACACAGTCTGCAAGTATAAACACCACACAGCTTGCAACTTCCAAAGTTGTATCAAGCAAGGCCTACAAAAATGCAGGAGAAATTGTTCACACAATCCTGCTCTCCCAACAAGTTAGAGCAGTGGCAAGTCATGAAGTAACACAAATGTGACCAAATTTCATCCTGCTAAAAGACTGTAGAGTGCTCTCTAGTCAGACAAGAATAGTTCAAAAGCTCGAATCACTTCAGAGGCTGAACCACTGCAGATATTTTCTCATAGAAAGATGTCTGAAGGTGAACAGTTTATGTAGGCTTCTTACAACCAGTGCTGGAAGTGCTTGAATTACTTCAGTAGGTGTGACAAGATCATTCAAGTTAATTGAGTTTGAAATGAAAAGCCATTATTACACGGAAGAAAATAGGTTGAAAGGGTTTGGTGATGCTTGTATTTTTAGTCATTTCCATTCAGTTTTAACCAAAGCCGGACTATTCCAGACAAAGCTTCAGTAGTTTTCTAACCACTTAAATCCAGTTTTACTCATTTTAGGGAAACTCCATTTCAGTGGTATATTGCCATTTTAAGGGCTGTTAACTGTTAGTTCTCTGAGCTCTGACTTTGCACTTTTCCTGGTTGCACCAGTAACCTCTTAAACCAGTGTCTGCAGCCTACAAGCTATTATTCTTCACATTTCAGTACTTAAAAACTTTAAATGAAATCTAGTATTCTTGTGCTGGGGTTAGTTTTCCATTTGTTCAAACTGATGGCTGACTGAAGTGCACAGTAGCCATATCCTTACTGTTAAAAAGTATTTTGAAATTTAAAGAAAAGTGAAGAATTAAAACAGCCTAGTGTATGTACGTTACATATCTAATAATATTCTTGAGCTATGGGTTTGTGAAAACTCATGACATCTTAGATGCAAAAACGTAAGAGTGCAATATGGAATCTCTTTGCATATATAGTAGAAAGACCAATCATTGAAATACCTAGACATCAATATTATTTTTATGTAAATGCATGCAGATAGCCTGAAATTTATCTTACCAGATTGTGTAATAAAAGTGTACACATACCTATGGATTGACTTGTGACTTTTTAAAAATTAAATTACCATTTGTCTAAACTCAATTTGTGGTTTCCAGGGTGCATTTACTTTGGAATCAGAAGAAGGAATTTCAATCTCACATGAAAGAATTAAAAAATAT